TAGGTTTAAAACGACTCCAAAATTTTCTGAAAATTTTGAAATTTGAAAGATACATATCAAAAAAACGATTAAGTAAAAGGAACAGTGTGTATGGTATGACAAAGAAAACAGACACCAATAGGGCAAATACAAATAGTCCAGCATGCTTCCCTTTAGCATATTCAACATTAGGATCCTCATACCATAAACTAACTGATCTCACTGACTCATCTGTACAGTGAACAGTTACCTCACGCTTGTGTAGTACAATAACAATAGTACGTACTAGTTTAGTATATGAGAGAAGGAAGAGTGTAGATAGAACAGGAACAGCATGAGACCCCATCAGTCTTGATATCTTACCATATCTCCTACACAATTGTATGATGATAATGATAATGATCCACAGGTAGAGAGGGAAAGCAAACTGGAGCCATTGTTTAGCATAACTGTCCATACCATTGTAGAAACATATCTCAAACCCAAAGTCTAAGTTAATCCATGATATGACTTGACTCAAGACTGGTAATGCTCCTTTCCTTGAAAAGACTGGCTCGTATAACTTGACAATGTTAGCATAGAACAATAGACCATTGAGTGTACCCACTGATACTGTTAAATTGAGAGCAATCAGTAGAACCACAAGTAGTACACCCATCACTGCAAACAGAGCAATCCAAGCTATCATCATGTAATCATCATGACAATGTCGACACTTGTTTGATCCCATTAATAGACTGTATCCATCTGTACATGATCCACACATTCTGTGTCCTCTATTATCCACACATTGAGTATCAGTGTGATTCAACTTGAAGGTAACAGGATTAGGAGAACAATAGAGGAGACAGTCCTCATTGACAATGCATACATTAGGATTGGCTGCATTAGCATTGAAAGGTGTACTGGTATCATATGTTCCAATCCACAGTAGACCATTGTGTGTAATGTTTAGACTAGTTATATTACACATCACATTCTCTCTTGAAACACTTTGACTGCAAGCACAGATAAATCTACCTTGTGAACTATCTACACTAAAACCAATGGGACATTCACTAACAATGTAATCCCAATAAATAGAATCAGATGTTTCAGAAATCCCAAGCCGCACCAAAAATAGCATGGCATGTTCTACATGACTGGGAGGATGGTTTGGTTTGTATTCAATCGGTGATGAACAATTAGAACCAGGCTTAGATCTAGCATATACATGATCGACTGTATGAGCACTGTCTGGAGTGAG